ATTATTATTATGTTGTTGTGATATGTAATGAAGCAGTTCTACTACTCACCATAATTCAGAATCAGATCATCAGGCAGTCGATTCTCTTAAGGAGCACCCAACCTAGATCCCATCCATGTGCAGTTCATAGTAGGATTCATGCTCCTATGAGAATGCCTATCTAATGCTGCCACTGATCTGATGGGTGGTAGTAGTAATGTGAGCGATGGTGAGCAGCTGTAAATATAAGTGAAGTTTTGCTCACTTGCCCGCTGCTCAACTCCTGCCGTGCCGCCCAGTTCCTAACAGGCCACAGACCACTACTGATCTACGGCCAGAGTCTTGGGGGGACCCCTGGAGTTGGCAGGTTCTATAAAGTGAAGCGTGCTTGTAATTATACCATTCAACCATTTCCCTCCTAGATATTCGCTTAAGTGAACTGATAGAGTTATATTGGCACAACATCTAGTGCATCAACGTTTGTTAGAGGGTTCATCTTGGATCCTAGTCTGGATAAATACAAACGAAGTTAGCCTGCCACAAAGGCGTTAGCTAAGTGAAAGCAGCCAGGCTCAAACCGTGTGATTCCATGTATGTGACTTTCTGGGAAATGGTAGGGATAGAAAAGTGGTTGGTGACTGCGGGGGCGGGAGGAGGGATGGATACAAAGGGGCATCAGGGGATTTTGGGGGGTGATGGAGCTAGTTGATGTTATAGGGAGTGGTGGTAGATATACAACTGCCTTTGTGTGTGTGTGTGTGTGTGTGTGAATAATCACAGAACTCTATTGAACCTCGTGCCTGTTAAAGTGATGTGAGTCAGAAAGAGAAAAGCAAATATGGTGTATGAACACATACGTATGGAATCTAGGAAAGTTGTATAGGAATGGAGATGTAGACATAAATAATGGACTTTTGGACATAACAGGGAAGGACAGGGTGGGGCGAATAATTATAATGCATGGAAACTATGGCAGACAGAGGAAGGAGCAGGTGCAAAGACCCAGAGGCTTGAACTCAGGTTTGAGACAGTACCTAGAGGTTTAGGGGTAAAGTGTTCTTGCCTGGAGAATCCCAGGAATGGGAGAGCCTGGTGGGCTGCTGTCTATGGGGTCTCACAGAGTCAGACACGACTGAAGTGACTTAGCAGCAGCTGGAGTTGAGGTGGAGAAAACATATTTATGTCGGTTTGTGAAGAGCCTTGAATGTCATGACAAATTCTTTGGACAGTGGGAAAATCTGAAAGTTTTTAACCAGTCAAGGATTATAAGCAATCTTTTTGTTTCTGAAAAATCACTCTGTCTTCTGGTTAGTGGCAAAAACCACTGGGTGTGTGGGCCTGCTCCTGCCTCCAGAAATGTTTTCATTTGCTCCCTGTTTAAAATATTTTTGAATTTGTGACTCATGTTATTTTTTGAGGTTTAGAACAGAGTCAATCTGTTTCTTTTTTAATTTATATTGAAGGATAGTTGATTTATAATGTTGTGCTAGTTTCAGTGAAGTGAAGTTGACTGAAGTTCACTGTGAAGCTAGTTCACAGTGAAGTGAATCAGTTTTGTGTATATATATATTATATACATATTTGTTGTATGTATTTTATATATTAGTTCAGTTCAGTTGCTAAGTCGTGTCTTGAGTCTTTGCGGCCCCAAGGACCGCAGCACACCAGGCCTCCCTGTCCATCAACAACTCCCGGAGCTAGCTTAAACTCATGTCTATCGAGTCAGTGATGCCATCCAACCATCTCGTCCTCTGTTATCCCCTTCTCCTCCTGCTTTCAATCTTTCCCAGCATCAGGGTCTTTCCCAGTTGGTCAATTCTTTGCATCAGTTGGTCAAAGTACTAGAGCTTCAGCTTCAGCATCAGTCCTTCCAATGAATATTCAGGACTGATTTCTGTTAGAGTTGACTGGTTTGATCTCCTTGCAGTCCAAGGGACTCTCAAGAGTCTTCTGCAACACCACAGTTCAAAAAAAGCATCAGTTCTTTGGAGCTCAGCCTTCTCTATGGTCTAACTCTCACATCCATACATGACTGCTGGAAAAACCATAGCTTTGACTAGGCAGAACTTTGTCGGTGAAGTAATGATTCTGCTTTATCCATTCTTTTTCAGATTCTTTTCCCATATAGGTTATTACAGAATATTGAGTTCCCTGTGCTATACAGTAGGTCTTTTTTATCTATTTTACATATAGCAGTGTGTATATATTAATCACAATATCCTAATTTATCACTTTACCCCATGTTTCCCTTTTGGTAACTGTAAGTTTGATTTTGAGATCTGAGAGTCTGTTTCTGTTTTGTAAATAAGTTCACTTGATTCATATTTTAGACTTCATGTGTAAGTGATATTATATGGTATTTGTCTTTCTCTGGCTTATTTCACTTTGTATGATAATTTCTAGGTCCAACCAACCATGTTGCTTCAAATGGCGCTATTTTATTATATTTTATGGCTGAGTAGTATTCTATTGTGTGTATATAAATATACATACCTACATATATATATATATATGTATGTATATATGCACAGCACATCTTCTTTATCCATTCCTCTGTCACTGGACATTTAGGTTGCTTTCATGTCTTGCCTATTACAAATAGTGCTGCAGTGTGAACACTGGGGTGACACCCATGTGTTAAAAATCAGGTCATTTTGCATAGAATCCTACTACACTGCTGGCTTCTCTTTAGATGGGACACATGTCAAAGCCACACATGACCCCCTCACCTTCCCGGCCCTGGCAGGTGTCAGATTTTGACCCCAGAGGTTGAAAATGGGCTAGAGGAGGAAGAGGTCAAGGTCAGTGACATTGCCCAGTCCTGGCTGAGCATCATCGCCCCCTGGGGAGCCTTAAACACTGATGGTGCCCAGGCAGAGTCTCTGGGGGTGGCCTGGTCATCTGTATCTTAACAATGTCCCCCAGGTGGTTCCAATATGCAGCCAGGGCTGGGAACCATTGGTCTGGGTGGAAGGTGACGGCCTGGGTTAGGGGGTCAGCAGTGGGGATGGGAGAGGTTGAAGGGCTGATGGGATATGTGAGGGGGAGGGGCAGACCACTGTGGTGCAGGATCTGGCTTGGACAATCGGGAGTGATGATGTCATCTGCAGAGAGGGGACAGGGGAGGAGAGGTGGTCGGGGGAAGGCTGAGTGCTCAGCGTTGGCCATGCTGTGTCCAAGTAGCCTGTGGCCTCTTGACCCAGGGCCCAGCGTGCAGTTGTCTTGTCCTGCTGTGCGCCTCAGTGTCTCTGCTCACCTCTGAGACAGGAAATCAGAGGGATGTCCCCAGGGGAGACCGGACAGAGGTGGGGGTGATGAGGCAGCCAAGCTTCCCCCGCAGCCACGGCAGACAGAGGGTCACTTGGGCAGGGTCGGGGGTCCTTCTCTTGTCCACCTGGCTCGTGGGAACTCAGGCCATGCTGAGCGATTTTGCCTGCAGCAAAGTGGGGGAGACTGTCCTCCAAAGGGGTGCTCATGCTCAAGAGAAAGGGACCCACCCATCCAGACACATGGCACCCTCAAACCCAAAACCACTCACCCTTCCTCAAACCCATCAAAATCACCTGCTGTACCATCTTGACTCCTAAGAAAATGGTACAATTTTTTTTTTTTTGGTCAAGAATGCTTTTCTTCCTATTAGCACCCCAACTTATGCCTGAGTGAAACCACTGTGCCCATTCTACAGATGGGTAAGAAAAGAGAAGGAAAGGAAGGAAACAGTCCTAGCTAGGTTCTTAATATACAAGAATGTATTCTTGTGTAATCCATAAAACCATCCTGTTTATGAAATAGGGGTGATTGGTCCCATTTTCCATACGGGCAAACTGAGGCCCAGAATGTGTAAGGATTACGTAGCAAAGTTGGTGGCTAAGCCTGATTCTCTCCATGATTCTTCAGTGTGATCATGGCCTCACCAGGAACGCACACAGACTCACACACACACACACACACACACATACACACGGAGCCTCTCCAGACACCTTTTATTGTTTTCGGTGCCCCCTCAGCTTTCCTTCTGGTACCCAGGGGATGTCTGCATGACTGTTCTGGCCTCCGTCCCTCCGAGGACGTACTCACTCTCCCCCAAGTCTGTGTGATCAGCCCAGGGATGGAGCTGATGTCCTGAGTAGGGGTGGAGCACAGACCTTAGTCGTCCCACCCACCCTAGGGGTCATTCACTAAATGGTCCAGAGCTCACCCACCGCAGCCATTCTCGGCTGGGTTGGTCTCTGTCACCATTAAGCATTTGTCGTGGCATTGTCCTGCCACGGGAAGCACTGTCCCAACCATCTCAACAAAGGTTGATTCCTGGCCTCTCCTCTTGTCTCTCTGCCTCCTCTGAGACCCAACAGAGACATGGATGGATGCCAAGGAGCACTTGCTGCCTGGAAACAGCGTTCAAAATTGAAAGCGTAAATCTTCCTTAGACGATGCTTCTCAGGGATGGGGTTCCCTTGACGCAGTCGTCACGAGTGTCCACTCTAGATGCTCCCGGCTCCTGTGGGCAGCGCCTGTTACAGATCATGCTTGGGACTGACTGAGCTCCCCACCGACAGCACTAGCGCCAGTTGGCTCTTGACATGGACAATCCCAGCTGTGGTTGGTGGTTGTGCCTTCTGAGCTCATCATGGTCGGTGTTGGTTACAGATGGTGTTCTTTTTTTTTTTTTTGGTCAAGAATGCTTTTCTTCCTATTAGCACCCCAACTTATGCCTGAGTGAAACCACTGTGCCCATTCTACAGATGGGTAAGAAAAGAGAAGGAAAGGAAGGAAACAGTCCTAGCTAGGTTCTTAATATACAAGAATGTATTCTTGTGTAATCCATAAAACCATCCTGTTTATGAAATAGGGGTGATTGGTCCCATTTTCCATACGGGCAAACTGAGGCCCAGAATGTGTAAGGATTACGTAGCAAAGTTGGTGGCTAAGCCTGATTCTCTCCATGATTCTTCAGTGTGATCATGGCCTCACCAGGAACGCACACAGACTCACACACACACACACACACACACATACACACGGAGCCTCTCCAGACACCTTTTATTGTTTTCGGTGCCCCCTCAGCTTTCCTTCTGGTACCCAGGGGATGTCTGCATGACTGTTCTGGCCTCCGTCCCTCCGAGGACGTACTCACTCTCCCCCAAGTCTGTGTGATCAGCCCAGGGACGGAGCTGATGTCCTGAGTAGGGGTGGAGCACAGACCTTAGTCGTCCCACCCACCCTAGGGGTCATTCACTAAATGGTCCAGAGCTCACCCACCGCAGCCATTCTCGGCTGGGTTGGTCTCTGTCACCATTAAGCATTTGTCGTGGCATTATCCTGCCACGGGAAGCACTGTCCCAACCATCTCAACAAAGGTTGATTCCTGGCCTCTCCTCTTGTCTCTCTGCCTCCTCTGAGACCCAACAGAGACATTGATGGATGCCAAGGAGCACTTGCTGCCTGGAAACAGCGTTCAAAATTGAAAGCGTAAATCTTCCTTAGACGATGCTTCTCAGGGATGGGGTTCCCTTGACGCAGTCGTCACGAGTGTCCACTCTAGATGCTCCCGGCTCCTGTGGGCAGCGCCTGTTACAGATCATGCTTGGGACTGACTGAGCTCCCCACCGACAGCACTAGCGCCAGTTGGCTCTTGACATGGACAATCCCAGCTGTGGTTGGTGGTTGTGCCTTCTGAGCTCATCATGGTCGGTGTTGGTTACAGATGGTGTTCTTCACTTGGGATGGATCATGGAAGGTTCTTCTAACTGCAGCTGGTTCTTAATAACAGTTGACACTTGCCTTGAAAATGGTTGTCTCCATGGATGAGTTCTGGCACAGGTGATCCCACCAAGGATGGTTCTCTTAACAGATGGCTTTGTCACTGATGGATGCTGTCAGGGACGGCTCGTCACTGGGGTTCACAGGATTGATGTTGTTGCCACTGTGGTGTTAACACAGGTGGACCCAGCACGGGTGGATCTTGATCGTGTTCTTCCCAAGAATGGTTTTCAGTGTAGATGGTCTCATCACTGACCGCTGATGCTCAGTGTAGTTGGTGACACATGGCTCTCCTGCTGATGGCTGTTGTTACAGATAAATCAAAATCACTGGTGATTTTGACCCAGCGTTTACTTTTAAAAGGTCTTTCTTACTTCTGTTGGTGATAACCACTCTGGGTGAAGTCTGGGTTTGCTGTGTCTTCACATGATGTGTTTTTCAAGGTCCCAGTGGCTGGCGAGGCGAGTCTTCTCATAAAGGCACGTGCACCTGGGCAGGCTGCTCATCCTTGGCGACCTGGTCACTAACATTCACCCTGTCCCCAGCTTTGTCCCCTGGAAGACTGGTTTTGCTCTGCATCCCACTTTGCACGTGGCTGTCCACCCTGACGCTCTGGTGGTTGCTGGCCTGGCTGGAGGGAAGGCTGCCCACGGAGCTGACCAGCCCGCTGCTCACTTGGTAGTTTAGGGCGCTGCTGCCCAGGCTGATGAAACTGATGTCGCTGAAGCTGCTGGCCCTGCTCTCCACGCTGCCGCTGGGCAGGCTGGTCTTACTATTCCCCTCCAGTCTGGTTGGTTCTGTTGGCTTGGCGGGCCAGTCGTCTCTTCAGCTGCTTAGGAGAGGGGACGGCACACACCTGGTTGGTCTGGGCCCCGCCTGCTTGGGTGTGGAGCCTTCTGCTCAACCGCACGATTTGATGGCTGCCTGGCAAGCTGACTTCGCTGTTCTCCTCATCCCCTGCATACCCGCTGCTCAGCCGGCTGATGTCAGTGCATCGCTCCAGGCTGGAGTGTTGCAGGCTTGACAGGACACTGCTGTCGTGGCTCACGGTGTTTCCCAGGTGACCACTGGAATCTCTCAGCGGCTCCTGCCTGGCTTCTGCATCATGGCGTGGCCATGCGGGGGACTGGGGCTCTAGGCTGGGTGACTGCAGACCCGCACCCGGTTCCTGAGCCTCCCCGCTGGGAGACTCCCCTTGCCTGCCCTGGAGGAAAGTGGGGGGCAACTGACTTGGTTTCTCCAGGAGGAGGGGGCCCTGGAGGCCTCTGGGTGTTGGATGTGGTGTGTCTGGGCAGAGGAGGCTCAATTTATAAGGGTCCCCCTGAAAAGGGAGGGTTCTGATTGGCTGACTTGGTTCCCATGGTGATGGTGCTTGTGATGTGGGCGGGCGGGGCAGGAGGGAGAACAATGATGTGCTGGCCCCTGGGGCATCAGGGGCTGCAGTTGGGCAGAAAGGAGACTCCAGTGCAGAAGGGCTGAGAACCACTTCCAAAGGGGCCTGTGGTCTCTGCTTTGCCGGGTCAGGAGACCTGCCTTTGCATCCCTGCTGAGACCTTTATGAGCTGTGTTTCTTCACATCCTGTCATTTTCTGAGCCTCTGCTCCTCACTCAGCTCTGTGCTCCAGAGAATTTCACAGTCAGGGTTTTAACCTCCATTTTTCCATGGCCCTGCCTGGTCCAGTTTCGACTCTCACTCAACCTCGTCCGTGTCACACCCTACCCTATCGTCACCTTGGATGCCCAGTCACACTGGCCACTTTGTTATTCTGAGCTCTTATCTGCCACAGGGCCTTTGCACAGGTGGTTCCCACCACCTGGAATGCTCTTCCCTTGGTCCCTTCAGGTTTCAGCTCCAGTGTTCCTCATTAAACTTTCCCTGGCCTCCCCAAGCAGGTCCCTCTATTCTTTATGTCACATCCTGATTTATGGGCCTTATGGCTTTCGTTACAATTTGCAATTATGTTTATGTATTGGTTGTTGCCATACATTGCCTCTGCTGCAGTGTGAACCTTGTGAGGGCAGAAATTTTCATTTCTTATTTTCTGTTCTGTTCCACCCAGCATAATGCTGGCACATAACAGATGCTCACTGAGTCTTTACTGAATGAGTGGAATATGCACCCTCAGGTTTGTATCATAACCATGTCAGGGCTTTTTATAAACATGCGTTTGGATTTTTGAGCACAGTGACTCTCTCCCTTGATTGCTCATCACAGTGGTCTGACTTGTCCCCACAACCCTGCTTTCCCTGCCAGGGACTGGCTGGGAAGGGACAGCTCGGTCGCTGCTTCCCTGCCCCACCACGTCCCCTCAGAAACCCAGCAGCCAAGTGCCCTGAAGGGGAAGCTGTGGTTCATCTGATTAGGAGGTTGGGAAAGAAGGTCATCAGAGAGAGATTCACCAGCCCAGAAAATGGCCCAGCAGCCACGGGCCTCCCACCTGGATATTTATCCCTAAAATTCAGACTGGGATGCTGGAGAAGACTCTTGAGAGTCCCTTGAACTGCAAGGAGATCCAACTAGTCAATCCTAAAGGAGATCAGTCCTGAACATTTATTGGAAGGAGTGATGCTGAAGCTAAAGATTCAATACGTTGGCCACCTGATGCAAAGAGCCAACTCTGGAAAAGACCCTGATGCTGGGAAAGATTGAAGGCAGGAGGAGAAGAGGGTGACAGAGGATGAAGTGGTTGCCATTTCCTCCTCCAGGGTATTTTCCTGACCCAGGGATCAAACCCAGGCTCCTGCAACCAAATAAATAAAAATAAATATTAGGAAAAATCTAGTGGGAGAGAGAGTTGGGGGTGGACAGCACAGTGCAGGGTAAACAGCCTGGTTGCTCTGCTCCGCAGGGGCTCTGGTCAGAGGAAGGGCTTCAAACCCGGAGTGAGCTGTGGTTCTGAGTCTGTGTCTACACCTGGGGGACATGGTGTGGCCAACTTAACCTCTGAACCTCAGCTTCTCCATCTGGGAAATGGAGCAACAGCGCTGATGATGCTACTCCCAGAAGGATGCTTTGAGGGCTGATAGGACACACCAGGGCAGGGTCTGCTCTGTAGGCTCCACGGCCTCACAGTACTGCCCAAACCTTGTGGAGCCTCTATTTTAAGACAGAACATAGGTGTATGCATGAAAAAAAATAAGTGTGTACACTGGCATATATGTATATATACATGAACACGTGTGCATATGTGAATACACACATAACATATGTGTATGTATACGTGCAAAAGGGCTTCCCTGGTGGCTCAGTTGGTAAAGAATCCACCTGCAAGGCAGGAGAGGCAGGAGCTGCACGAGACATGAGTTTGATCCCTGGGTTGGCAAGATCCCCCAGAGGAGGAAATGGCAACCCACTCCAGTATTCTTGCCTGGGAAATCCCATGGACAGAGGAGCCTGGTGGGCTACAGTCCAAGGGGTCACAAGAGTCAGACACAACTTAGCAACTAAATGACCCCCACCACCATATATGCAAAGACATACATAAGTATATATGAATACACACATAATATAACCCATGTGTGTATGATACATTAGCGTATCTACGTGAACATGTATATAAGTATTTACATACACACATACACATGAATGTACTTTTTATATGATTTTCTATTTATTTATTTTTGGCTGTGCTAGCTCTTCATTGCTGCAGACAGGCTTTCTCCAGTTGCAGGGAGTGGGGGCTGCTTTCTAGCTGCGCTGCACAGGCTTCTCATCGTGGTGGTTTCTCTTGCTGTGGAGCATGGGTTCTAAAGCACGGGCCCAGTAGTTGTGGTGCTCAGGCTTAGCTGCCCTGCAGCATGTGGCATCTTCCTGGGCCAGGGATCAAACCTGTGCCCCCTGAATTGGCAGGTGGATTCTTAACCACTGAACCACCAGGGAAGTCCTAAACACACTTTTTTAAAACCACAAGACCCTCTGGCCTTCTGCCTCCCTGGGGCAGCCACTCTCCCCCAAGATTGTCTACATGGAGCATCCTTATCCGAGTGCCTCCCCTGAGATCCTCTGGTCTCTTCCCAGCATCTGGCCCATCGGGGTGAGGACTGGCATTCATTCAGTTTAGAGCATCCCTAAACAGTTAGTGTGTGATCACAGGCAGCATGGTGAGCGTCTCACTTAGAGCCAGACCCCAGTCCACACCTGGGGAGAACGCGGAGCCCCCTGTGCTGGGGCTGGAGCTGTTGGAGGCACCATGTGTGTGGGCTGAGCTGGACGTTGGCATGGATATCTCAGTCCGTCTCCTTTCATCCTCTCTCTGCCCCAAAGCCCAGGTCCTGGCTACCTAACTTGGTTACCAGGCAGGTCTTGTCCTGGTGAGAGGCATCCCTGTGGGTCAGGAGTGGTGAGTACCTTCCTACTGAGGAGTACTTGGCATTGGAGCTTAAATAAGTAGTCTCCAAGGGTGGGCTTGGGGCCCTGGCGGCAGGACCTGGGACTTTCTACCTCCTCCCAGGATCAAATCAAAGAGAACCAGCTCAGCCAGGGCCTGGAGTGTGATTGGTTCAAGGGAGAGAGGTAATTCTTCCTCCGGGTGGCCCCATGATTGATTTTCTCCCCACTTTTTACATTACTTAAGGCATAAAAAAGGAATGTTAAAGCGAATATCTGTGTGCTCATCACTCAATTCAAGAAATAAGACTGCCGATATAGCCTAAAACCCATTTACCCCTCCCCCTCACATCTCCCCATGGCAATCCTGAATCTGACGCACATCTTTATACTTGAAGGATAAAAGGAAAAGGACATATTCCCATTCCATGTGTGGAATCATTTTGCATGCTATTAATCTTGATATAAGTGGCATTCTTTATATATCCTTCTATCACTTGCTTACGTTCAGCATTATATTTGTGAGATTCATCTGTCGTTCTGTGTGTGGCCCAAGTTCATTTTCACTACTCTAAGAGTATTCATTCTATTGATGAATGTCATAATTCATCCATTCTCTCGATGAATGGCTAGGTTACTTTTCCTTTGCTCCCCCTCTGTGATGAACATTCCTTTAAGTGTCTCTTTCCCATGACCTTTCCCCCGAGGATTTATGAGAAGGGTCCTCCCAAACGGACTATGAAAACTTCCACTTGCTTTAATTATGTATAGAGCAGATATGTCTCCCCCATCCCCTCGGTCTCATCTTCTACCACGAGGTTCAGCTTAGGGATGGGATAAACCACAGGGTTTTCTGTTGCCTATATTATTTGGGCCTTATTTGGTTAATGTGGCATTTTCAAAATGTTTGGCTTTGGCTGGAGAGTTGACTCACTTGGGTCGGGGGCAGTAGGAGCCAGGTGGCTGAAAGGGGATGAGCCTCTCTGAAGGGCGAGTGCGACCAGAAGGGACCCACTCTGCTCAGGGCATGTCACCCAGCTTCCTGCAAGCTGGGGCAAGCCCCTGCCTCACTTTTTTTCACTGTGCACTCAGGGTATGAAGGACACACTGGAGGTGGGAAGGGAGGATGATGGAGAGGTAGCCTGAGGAGTGGGGTTTACCTGAGTATCCCTAGGCCCAGCGTGGGAACCGTACACACCACAGAGTCACGGAGCTGTGGAGTCAGTGTGGGAAGCCGATGTCTGAGCTCCAATCCACTTCCCAGCTGTGCGATCTGGGGCAAGTTACCTAGCCTTTCTGTCTCAGTTTGGGTTCCTTCAGAAGCAGACTTTAAGGCATGACTCGGGTACCAGTCGTTTGGGAGGTGGTTCCAAGAAACCCCAGTGAAGAGATGGGCGGTAAGACAGGGAAGGAAGGAAAGAAGCCAGTGAGGGCGTGTTTATGGAGAATGTGGCCAGTTAGCCTGGGGTTCAACGATGCTGGGGCCTCGCAGAGGCTGGGACATTTACCCAGTGGCTCTGGGTCCCACTGGGGCATCTAATGCCTTTTCCCGTTTCTCCTGAGCTGGCTGAGCAAGCCTCTGTGGTGCCAGAGAAAGCCTGGAGGCAGAGGAGGCAGGAGGGGAGAGGGATGGGGAGGGGAAGGGGAGGGAGGAGAGGAGAGCTGGGGAGGAGGGCAAGGTGGAGGGGAGAGGCAGAGACGCTGTGCTTGGGTGCATCTGCTGCGCCTTCAGCCAGCTCTCATCTCTAGCAGAGGCTGACTCCTGGGGGTCAAGAAGATGGTGGGGGCATCCATGGAGTCTGCCAGCATGGCCTCGCCCACAGATGGAGTCAGGGATTGTTCCTTTAGGCTGTAGAAGAATTCCACGGGGCCGGGCCGGCCTGCAGTCAGTCCTCTTCAATAAATGCTAAGTATGGAAAAACCTGCCTCGTGCTCCCCCAAGGTTGTGGTGAAGAAATGGAGATGGACTGATGAAATAGCAGCTCAGAGAGATGATAAAACATGGACTCTGGCTGTAAAACCATCAGGTGGCATGACCATAATCCGGACCCGAGGTTGTCTCGGAAATGTCAGGTCTCTCAACCTGGGGGCTTCACTACATTCGGCCCAG